AATACTTTTTGTATTGTATATTTTCATGAGATACACAAATATCTTTAAAATACGAGAGATTCCACGTGCAGTTCGACAAAATTCGAGTCTCTCCACGACATCCGTCCGCAGTTATCTGTCACTACTGCGGAGCCGAGTGAAGAAGTCTAGAGCTCCCTCAGCCCCCGCTGAGAGAGGGTACACGCTGCTAACGTTATCTCACATGTTTCCGTGGGACATTACCTAGATACTCTTAAAGTATGAGAAATTCAATATGCAACTCGAGAAATCCCAAGTCCGTGTTATAAGATACGTCCGTCTGTAACTATCCGTCACTACTAGCCAAGTAGAAAAAGTCAGAGCTGCGTCAGCCCACGGTATATACGCTGTGATGACGTTATCTCGCGTATTTCTACGGGATGTCCTACGTATATTTATTTCTAAAGTACGAGAAATTCATACGTGCGCTTCGTCTCGTTTACAAAATATGCCGGTCTACGGCTGTCCGTCGCTACTGGACAGCCAAGGGGAATAAAACGGAGCTCCGTCAGACTCAGAGCGACAGGCAAGATTTCTCAATTTATAAAGTACGAGATATTGCAATGACCAGACGAAAGCGCAGTGACACTGGCCAATTTGTGGGGAGACCATCCTTCCGCGAAGGCGTTTCTCGAGTCGGAGAAGACTTGACGGAATTTATTAATTCAACTGATGTGCATTTTACGCCGGTAGGTTGCCACGCGAGGCAACCTTATTTGAGCGAAGGCGTGTTGAAATGATAGAAAGCCTCTTATCCCTTTTAATAGCGCTTAAGCGACGCAACAACAACGCATTACTCTCTTTGAAGTTCGCCACCGCGCCGCGGACAGCTTTATTACCCTGATCTCACTTTATTATGCAGGCCTTGCGCGCTGGACTAGCGCGGCTTAAAGCGAGGACGACGGCGCGGATGGCTGTTGCATAAAATGAGAAACGACCGGCAGTATTTAAAGTTGAAGGCACCCCGGAGATTTCGGTCCTCTCGTAGAGAAACCGGCCGCAAAATTGTGATTTAGAGTTGTTCCAGGCAGATCGAGGGATCCCTTTGCTTGATCATGTTTTCCGAGTGTTCCTGGAGACGCGTGTTACAGTGATAAAGTGGTGCCTCGTCATTTTAAAGGAGAATACAGTTAAATCTCTAAATTCATGATTGTCACTTGCCTGTGAGTGAAAAAATTATTTAACGAATCGAATCTGTTGAGTAGATTGAAACTTATATTATTGTCGAAACGCTGTCATTTCCTTTTCCCTTTACACGGAAAACGAGATTCGGTTGGAACCAAATATCCGGTGAACGAACCGTTTTCCAATTGGAGTTACCAGAATTCTATTCAAGTTAACAAGATTCTGGTTAACTAAACGAGACTTTTGTTCAACTGGAACTTGCAATCGTTCAACAGTTGCAACTTCCAGTTAACCAGAAATCTCGTTAACTCAAGCAGAATTCTGGTTTGTTCATATTTCACCAGATATTTGTTGATCCAACCAAATTCCTTTCTTCCGTGCGGACATAAACTATAACGATATTTTTCAATTTTGATATATCCCGACCTCTCTTGCTCAAGAGTCATCCGCGTAATTTAACGTGGCGCGATCTCCCGCGCCTCCCTCTCTGATTTCACGTAGAATTTGCTGCGCGCAAAAAAATCGGAGCGAAAATCCACAACAACGGGATCTCGTCGCAAAATAATAGCGAACGAATATATCGTGTCTCACGTTACCTGCGTTCATCTCGACGTACGCGCAGCATCTCCCTTGCCTCACGATCCGACTCGAGTGCGATTTAACGAATGATATCCGTGTCTACGTGGTAATCGAAATCACGAACCTCCCGCGGATCGCGGCTTCTCGTCGGCGCTCACCTGCCACGTTCACTCGCGAGCGGAACGGAATCTAGTTAAAAAAGCGTATCTCGATGTAAATTCTGCGGCACGGTCGATGTAAACGTAAAACCCGGCACGAGCGAAACTTTCCGCCCGAAACGGGGCCGCCGTCGTTCTCGTAGCTGCAACTTTTAGACCGCTTTTTTCCGCGCTGTTTATGAAACGGCCGTTGGCTTAAACAGCTGCCTCGAGCCGATCTAGTGCCGGAACACGTTCAAAACTGCTTCTTGCAATCTCACGTGGCTCGACTGCCCTCCGCTAACAGTCTGTCGGCTGCTTAATAATCGCGCCGATTGCGAATGATGTATCTCAGCGATCTTAGATCTTCGCGCTTTTTCTTTTAACGATGCAGCTTGTCTCCAATTATTTCCACACGCGCCTACTTCAGAGCAAATTTATAAGCGCAAGATGTCCAGAAGTTTCCGAATTTCACTTCAACGACAACAGTTCACTTGAATAATAAATTAATCCCTATGTGTGTGTGTGTATGTGTGTGTGTGATAATGCTTGACGAATTCGCGGATGAATTTTCCACAAAAAAAATTCGCGTACAAAGAAATCAAGAGAAGCAATATAAAGAAAGTTCTAGTTCAAAAATTATAAATTTTCAAAAACATCTGTAAAAGTTAATTGTATGAATTATATTGTATTTTTATTATTTCAATTACCAAGAATTAATTTATTAAAAATTTATTAAATTAATTTATTAAAAATTTATTAAATTAATTTATTAAAAATTTATTTATTAAAATTAATTTATTAAAAAAATTTAATAAATTAATTTATTAAAATAGTAAATTAATTTCTCTGTGTGTGTAATAATGCTTGACGAGTTTACAGTTTAATTTTCCATAGGAGGAAATTCGCGTGTAGAGAAACGATTAGTGACAATGAACATTTTTAAAATTAAATATATCACGTCTACTTTTCAAAGATATATATATATATTTTTGAAAATTACTCACACATGCAGAAACAAATTCAACGATATATAACATTGCTATGCGAAATGAGAACATTGGCCAAAAACTGGCAGTCAAAATTTGACTAATAATGAAACTAGCAACTGTTTATAAATATATAACTTTTTACCCTTCGGCCGTTAGTGATATGCATGGTTGAACATATCTGAATGAATGCTTTCCAAAACCATTTGAAATATGTCGACGGAGTAAAAAGTTATATATTCATAAGTAGTCGTTAGTTTCTTTAATAACCAAATTTCCCTGCTTTTGGGCCAATGTTCTCATTTCGCACAACAATGTTATACAGTCTGTTTGATAAGAGCGTGTCCGGTAAAACTTTTACATATAAACAGGTAAACGGGAAATTCAAACAGGAGCCGATAGAGGGACCTTTCGCCTAAGATGATTTGTAGATGAAGCTTTAGTTTTCATTCGATCTTCGTGGTAAAAATATATATTTCGCCATGAGTGTCAAATACACATCGCATTTCGAAGCCGTGTTTCTTTGTACGCATACGAAAGGACCAAAAATGTCACGCCAAGCGGTTGTTAAGTACATGAGAAAGTCAAAAGCATTTGTAAATAAGTGGGTGAATCGTTACTTAGAGGTGTCGATGACTTACCAAAACGTGGCTCTACGCAAGGATTTGGCACTTTGCATATCTTCACAAACAACTTAAACGCTAGCAAAATGGTCAAAATTTATGAAAAGGCTTTATTACTATCTGCTCAAATATGGTTTATAAGGAAAAACGAAAAATGGATACTACAAGACGACAATGATCCTAAACATCGAAGTCGCCTTTGGAAATAAAAAAATAATATTAAATTACTGAATTGATCGTCACAGTCACCGGAAACAAATCCTATCGAAAACGTTTGGTTCTTGATAAGTTTAAACTTCGTGGAAAGAAAATTTGGTCGATCAAGGAGTTAATTTGACAAATTCGATTGATATGGAGATCTTTACCTCAAGAATAAGCCATAAAATTAGTTGAAAGTATGTTTCGGAGATGCCAGACAATTATTAATAATGAAGGCGACTGAACAAGTTATTAATAATAAAACATCACAGTTATAATCTAGTAGTATATGTATATTTTATTCCAAATCATTTCATTAAATTATTTATCAAGTGTGTATTATCAGTGTGTATTTATCAAGTATTATTATCAAGTTTTGCCGTACACGCTCTTATCAAACAGACTGTATATCGTTAAACTTGTCTCCGTGAGTACTTTTCAAAAATACATCTTTGAAAAGTAGACGTTACACTTCGTGAATGTCCCTTACAAGACTTATTAAACAGCTGCGAGTATTCAATTAATCCGGGAAGCCACTATAATGACTATAGTGGCATATTTTTCACCAATCTTTGACATATAGAAAAAAGTTCGAGTTCAAAGGCTGGAGAAGTCGTCCAAAAGATCATCCGGACTGCAAGAGTTAACGTCACTCGCAAACGAAAAGAGAAGTTTCAAGTTAAACGACCTCGAGGAACGTTACACGCGAGGATGAGGCACGGTAGTCTTACATAATCTCAGCGATTCCCCGCGGACGCTTTAAAAATCGAGCGAATCAAGTCAATGGGCCAAGAAGGCTGCTATCGATCCCGAAAAAGCCACCAAACGACGGAACGTGTTTCTCGCGCTTCGCCGAGACGAAGACAGACGATCTCAGACAAACATCCCCTGAAGCCAATTTCGAGATTAATCCCGAATTTCCCCCTAAAGCCGTCGACACCTTCACCACTCAGGAGAAGATCCATCGTTCAACCGCGCTCATCTCAAAATCTTCGCGGATCGATCGATCACCACGTATGTCCCTCGATCTTTGCGCGATCTTCTCGAATGATCCGACGACGACGACATTAAAATTATCATCTCACTGTTCGAACGGTCCCGTCGGTTCCCACGAGGATCGCTCTCATGGATCCTCGAAGAACTCACGACCTTTGGCATCGCAAACACTTCGATTCTCAACATCGAAAGAGAAAGAAAGAGAGAGAGAGAGAGAGAGAGAACGAGCGTGCGCGACTCCGTCGATCTCTCGGACTTGGCGAAAACCGCCAACATCGACAGCCGAGAGGGGATCGACTGGCCACCCCCGGTGAGGACGTCCAGGCGTCACTTACCACATATCTTCCTCGGCGGCGAAGCACGACGGATTGCGTTGCGTATCACGTGAGCCGCCGGGCGTATCCGCTCGTCATATCCGCGTTCTCACGCACTCGGGATCTCGCGATCGTCCGCTCACTGCTGCCGCCCCGCTGTTGCCGAGAAAGAGTCGCCCTTTTCCCACTTCCTCCCGCGTTTCCGCGTCTCTCCTCCTGGTGATCCTCCCGATGCGTCGGTCCCGGCAATCGGCGGTTCCCGTGGGTTACGCAGGGCGCAACGCACCCTCTTCGCCCGGAGGAGCACCGATCCCGCGAGCGGACGATGTCGTCACGACGAAGTCGAGGGTGCAGCACCCTTCTCTTCCCCTCTCTCTCTCTCTCTCTCTCTCTTTTGCTCTCGCTCTCCCTCTCCTTCTCGCCAATCGTCGACTCCAACCCTTCCCAGCGCAGCGTTCCGCGCGTGATGCGTATCTCTCTCGCCTTCCTCGTGGCCTCCCTGTGTCGCGCACCCGCTTCCTGGAGCACACAGCACGAGAGCACTCACTACTACGAACCACCACCACCAGGCACCGGTACACAACTACGACGGAAGACGTGGGGAAAACCGAGTGCGGGCGCGCGCACCACCGTCACACGTTCCACCACCTCCACTCCTTTTCTCGCTCCTTCTACCCAACTCGTGCACTCCCTCTCTCCCTCTCTATCCTTCTCCCTTTCTCTCTTGATCGGCTCTTTCCGTTTCTCTCGATCGTTCTGTATCTCTCCTCGCTCTTTCTCTCTCTTTCCCTCCTTCTATCTCGGTCCCACGTTCTGCCGACGCAGCCTCTCTCGTCTCGTGTAAACTTATAAATAGATATCTAGGTG